CCTTAAGGCACATATTGGAAAATTCTATAATTAATTAATATATCCTCTTTCAAGTCTATCATAAATTATTGTTACAAGAATTTATTTTTTGTTCCCATAAAAAAAATATAGTTTAGTGTTGTGGACGTAATTCAATATACTTAATAATTTTTTAATAAAAAATATTTATTAAAAATGTTTTAGTACTTTCATATAATTAGGATTCCGTAAAATTGTGCATTAATCTAAATTGAAAAAACATTCTCTCTCTCTCTCTTTTTTAGCAATTTGGATGTCTCTAAATCAATTTACATGTACTTTAAAATTAATTTTTTCTCAATTAGGTTAAAAGAATGCCATGCATGTTAACCTTAAGAAATTCATGAGAAATTCATGAGGAAATTACCTTTTAGTGGGCTCTCTCAAAAAATCAAATCTTAAATAATAAAGAGGGGAGCAAATGTCCCAACTAAATCATAATTTCCTAAGAAAAAACATTTTATTATTGTTAAAAGAAATATAAAAGAAAGATATATACTCTATTTAATATGATTTAGTTGTCTTTATTAATTTATGATTACCAAAAAAATTTACTTATTATTATAATTATGACTTATCTTTACATTTTTATCATTTATTACAATTAAACAAAAAAAAATTCTAATGTATTTCTATCTCTTTTTTTATAAGAGTAAAATCGAAGTATTAATACTTAATTTTTTAAATTAAGGGTCTATACTCCTTTAAATTCGCAGCATTCAATTTTTTAGGGACCAAAGCTAAAAAAGAAGAATTTAGACCCCTCACCAGTTTACCATTCCGATGAAACTTCGAGAAAAAACTGATGAAATCCTCCTTTATGCAATGCCACGCAAATTTAAGAAAATTGAAGTTGTACCCATCCGGTCCCGGAGCCTTTGAACCATCACAGCTCCTTAAACCTTCCTCAATTTCTTCAACCGAAAAAGGTCTTTCTAGCCATTCTTTTTTCTCCCCTGAAATCTTTTGAAATTTAATACCGCCGGGCTTGGGTCTATTCCATGGGTCACCTTGGAACAAACTTCTAAAATATTTGACAATTTCATTTTTGACTGCTTCTGGATCTTCAATCCACACCCCATCACTCATTAAGCCTGCAATATTATTTTGTGCCCTTCTCCCGTTAGCCACATTATGGAAGAAACGGGTATTCGCATCACCCTCTCGTATCCACCTACTCCTTGACTTCTGCTTCCAGATTAGTTCCCTTTTTCTCAGAACATCCCACATCTCAGAGAAGCCTTCCTGCCTTTTAACAATTTCAAGTTCTTCCAAGTCAGCTACCTCGTTCTGCATATCAACCTGCTCTATTTTTTTAACAGCTTGCACATACTGGGCTTCCATGTTTCCAAATACTTCCTTGTTCCATCCTTTTAAGAACTCTTTTAACAGTTTTAACTTTTGTTTGCATTTATACCCTGCAAACCCCTCCACTGCCATCTCTCTCCACTTATCTTCTACAGCCTTCTTGAATTCTAGATGTTGTTGCCAAGCATCTAAGACTCTAAAAGGCCTTGGTCCCCAATCTGATGATTTGGACTTCAAAACCATTGCACAATGATCAGAAATGTTTCTTGGCAGCCCCTGCTGAATCCATTCTCCTCCCATATTATTCATCTCAGTACTCAACAAGAATCTGTCCAATCTGCTCCTTGCTGTTCCATCTGGCTTATACCATGTATAGCGTCTATTTGTCAATTTAACATCCACCA